CCATGCTTAATAACAACTTCTTTGATTTTATTTTTAAAAAATGAGGTCGACAATTATTTGTCCTCCTTCTTAAAAAAGGTAAATTTGATTCCATCTCTACATTCAAACATATAAAGCCATGATTGAATTACAATTTGGCATACCCATAAAACCACTCCAAAGGAGGTGAATTCAAACCTTTTACGAAAATAGTGTAATGGAAAGAAACTAGACATATAGTGGACACTGTCCTAAATTTCCTTATACATGCTTCCTTTCCTCTTCAATACTTGGATCATGCTTACCTAACAACTTTTTGTATCTCATTAATAGGTTACCAATTGTATCCCTTCACTATATCACTTCTTATTTACACTTTTATGTCAATACTTTTATAAGAAAATTTCTAAAATATTTTTGTTGAGATCGTGCTCTCTTATTCATGTCCTACAAATCTCACAAATTTGATTTGGCATCTCATGAATGTTTTTCATAGAGTATTTCATTACTTACAAGGGTTATAATGTTAGAAAAAATTTATATTTTAGATTTTGATATCATGATTTTCACACTATTTCAATTTCTATGAAAACGGTAAAAACGTATCCGGATCCATGACACCGATTCTTGTCCGATTCTCAGTCTTGTTTTCAACCGTTCTCTCCTCTCTTTCTTCTTTCTTTTGTGTATCCTTTGATGATGAAGATACTTTTGCGTATTTGTGAGAAATGAGAAGGAATGAGAAAAAAAAGTTGTTTTCGTTTTTCTAAAGGTCCACATTTATAGGCTTCTTTCTCTAACAGTCACATTTCATTTCAAGAGACATGTCCCAACATCTATGAAGAGAGAGAAGAGAGATTTAAATTTTGAATTTCAAATTCAAAATTAAAACCCCATTGACTTAATTTATTAATCCAATAAATATGAGTCATGCAAAATTAAAAATTTATTTAAATAAAAGATACCTTAATATGATTATATTGTTGGGATTTTAGTAAATAAGCATCATTCATACAACACACTATTAACTCGAACTAAATACATTAGTGACCTTCTGAATAAAACTCGCATGCATGATTTTAATCATGTTTCCATTCATATGAGTGGCATCTCCAATCTCTCCAAACTTGGCTCATACTCTTTTGAAAATCCTAATTTATTTATATTAATAGTTAAGGCTTTTTACGTGCCACAATTACTAGACTAGAGTTTAGCTTCTCTGTCAATAAAGTGTTCCAATTTATGGCCAAACCCCTGGACTCCCAATAGCAAGAAATAAAAAGGATTTTCATATACTTGTAGGACACTCTTCATTTTGACTTCCAACTTCATCCAACTTTATCCAACTGACCCTAAACAAGCGTTCTTTATGCATAGTTTATCTAATGCAGATTAGGCACCTGATCCTGATGACAAAAGATCCACTTATGGTTTCCCAACTTAATCTTTAGGTGATTAAGGAAATAAACTATGGTGTCTAGTGTAGAGGCATAATACAAAAAGTCTTGCTCTCACTAATGCCGACATTATGTGGCTCTAGACACCCTCCAAAAATTTAAGGTTCCATTTATGTTTCCACTCATTATTTTTGACAATGAGAGTGCATTGGTATTACTCATAGCCCCGTCCTTCGTGCTAGGACAAAGCACATGGAAATCATGTTTTTTTTTATGTGAATTTTTTATTGCACCATATATGTTTCTTCTTCACCGTGCGAAATTCCATAAATGTCCCCTGTTTTCGAAGATACATCTCCGAACACAACTCATTTTTGAGTAAATGTTGACATATTTCATATATATATATATATATATATATATATATATATATATATATATATATATATATATATATATATATATATATATATATATATATATATATATATATATATATATCCGAAACAATTTTAAACTTTAAACATATAGAACATGTCACCCTAACCCATTTACACTTGGTTTGTTTCTGAGATACATCTACAAGAATATTTTGGAGATACATCTCCGAAGTGTATCAGAGCAGGTTTTTTTATAACGAGTTGAGTATTTATTTTTAAATGAAAATAAAGATGTAGAAATTAATAAAAAAAAAACATTAATATTGCGTGTGTCGAAAATTTCGCCGGAGATTTCGCTGGTACAACAGTGCCCTATGTGCCTCCGCCACCATGGCATCCAAGACTCGCCCGACAACAGACCTTTCAGGGAAGATACCCTCTTCAATTCCATCCCGCGCAATCTCAACTATACGACGAATTCGAGGAAAGATATACTTAGTATGATTTAGCTAGGCCAACTCCTCCTCTAGAATCTGCTGATGAGCTGGTCTCGACGAATCTCTTGGAGAAGACTGCATCGTGCACGGATGTGAGACCCTAAAGAATCACTTGATGTATTCATTGACGTAGCTTCAGTCGTTCGGCACTATGGTAGCCCGATCCATTTCCAATACCAAGTGACTCTAAAAATCAACAAACATTTTCGTTATCTATCTACGGGATAAAGCAGAAGGAGCAGAGACAACAGTATGTATGAGGATGGTATGAATGTACCCGAACTGCCGCATGATGCGCTCGGGAAGATGAGAAGCAGTGATACGCGAGCCGCAGGCCAACCATCCAGAGTGTAGAGCTATGTCGTCAAATGAACGCGTCTGACGATGATCCAAGTAGTTGTTGAAATACATGTCCTCAGCAACTAAACGGTTAAGGTAGACTCTGAAAGGCTCGATCGACTGGTTCCCTCTCAGCGGGATAAAATCACAGGTACGGGGAATATCCTGAGTATACTCATTCATACTCGCCCAGTCAGCCATGCGGGGGAAGTGTTGGAGGATCCAAGTCTGAAATAAAAATAAAAAATAAACATTCAAGGGTCAAGAATTATTGAAAATATGAACTGTGAATGACAAAAACAAGCATTAAAGGATTAAGAATTATTACCACTAGTAGTGTCACAGTGCCTGTGACCTACTTCGTCTTCCACTGACATCCATCTCTTAACTTCGAATATAGATAGGTCAGGAAAGCCGCCCCCTAGTTGTACTCATGGATACGAGTGAGATCCAAAAAAAAGTACCTGAGATATGCAACATCAGTATAATTGGCACTCGTGTCCACAAAAATATAAGTGCCAACCAACTAAATAAAATATGCCTTCAAAGCACGAACCCTGTGTACCGCCACCTGCTCAACATCACCATCAGCCTGCTGTGCAACAACGATCTCATCATCATATATCTCCTTCAGGAACTCAAACCTATCATGAACACCCCTAGTCATATTCACCTCCTCAATCGCCTTCCTTGAATCAGCCCCTAGATGCTCTACCAACATCTCGACTGCCTCGTCTTTGGGCATCCTACCATGATTGAGGAATCTTCCTCTGATCGGAAAATGTATCGACCTATCAGACAGACCTCCGCCAAATCCTTTTGGCTCAGTATCCTTAGCAATCTCACCCTTCGGAGGTGGCACTGGATCAACAGGATTTTCATCGGGAGGTGACATTGGATCAGTAGGAGGTGGCACTGGTGAATTCTGACGCCTGCGGGAGCATGGGAAGTGACGTGTCAATTAGTGAATTTTGTCTCCTACGGGAAGAAGAAGAATATGGAGTGGCCTGAGAAGAATATGGAGTGTGGCCTGAGGTGAAGGGAATCTCCAGGAGTAGACTGTTCACCAGAAGTCGACGTCTCTGCCTGACCAGAAGTACCTGCTGCCTCCGAAACCAGCTAGCTACGCTCCCTCCGGACGGATGCGTTCTGGGCAACCCGGTCATGTCTCAGTCTGTCGACTCTGTCAATTATAATAGATGTAAGGTAAATTACGGTGTATCATTAGTGCAGGCAGACAACATAAACAAACAAGAATATTTTTAAAAAAATAGATTGCAGACTATTCTAAAGATACATCTCCGGAAACTCCAAATATCAATTACGTTGAAACATTCTGAAGATGTATCTCCGAAAATTCATAAAGAATATGAAACACTAAACTAGTCCGGAGATATATCTCCGGAAAGTTCTACAACTATAAAGTCACAACAATTGTATAATATGGTCATGCATATTGAAAAAACATGATCTGGTCATCATTTTGAGACAAAAAACAAGTCATATACTAAGTCTGAACTATATTACATGCGATTCCTACACATTTCTATCCGTAAAAATTGATTTCTACGCATTTACACAAAAACTCAAAATTTATCCGAAAACTCGAAAGTTTACCTGAAATTTATGGTTTTGATGATGTTGAATGTTGTTATTAATGATGTTTGATATTCCTCTATGTCTTGTTTGATGATATTTGATGTTGTGAAGAAGTTGGAATTTTTATGTTGAGAGAAAAGTTGGAGAAGAGAGAAAAAAGTTTGAGAAGTGTGAGGGAGAAGAGTCTAGTGCGTTTTAAATTCTAAAACGTTTCGAAGATATATCTCCAAAATATTTCAACATTTAATGAACTTTGGATGCGTCCGAAGATGTATCTCCCAAATTAGAGAGCATATATAGAACTTCACATGATGTGTTAAAAGTCTATAGGATGCAAAAAAAAAAAAAAAAAAAAATCTTTTTTATAAGCGAAAAAGACATTACTAAAGATCTATAAAAAGAAAAAAAGATGACTTGACTCGACAAATTTGTATGGTAAAATATCTATACACTTCTTAATCTCTTTGTAACAAACTCAAAAAATCGATAATAAAATAAGTGATTCAATTCTCCTAAGGTAGCATTCTGTATGCTATATTATGTTCTAAACTTCTTATGTTGTCAGTGTCTCTAGCACCTTTTTGAAAAAATCTTAAAAGGTTTATTAGGAGGTTGTCAAATGGGTGTTGAGATATCTGAAACGAACCCAAAACACTAGCTTGGTGTTCAAGGTTTTCCAGACACTTATTTATCAAAGTCACAACAACTACATCACAAATAACTAATTATACAATTTATCACATTAAAAGACCTATTTTAATCATAAATAGTTTTCAATGCTTTTTTATTAACTTTATAAATTATGGCAGCATGAAAGCTGTTATCGAGCGGTATAACAAACAGAAAGAAGAACAGCATCAACTAATGAATCCTGCTTCAGAAGTGAAGGTAGTTATTGCTATACTATTCATCTTGTTCCCAATTTTCTCTAGTAATTACTGTTTTTTCTACTTGCTAGTTTTGGCAGACAGAAGCAGCTGGCCTGAGACAACAACTGCAGTACCTGCAAAAAAGCCATAGGTAAGTTAAATAATCATAACCTATTCGATTAAAGAAAATATCGATTTTTTTCCACTTTCTGTTATAAGTAAAACCAACCAATTTCATATTAAAATGTATATTGTACAAGCAGGCAATTAATGGGTGAAGGACTTTCTGGCTTGGGTATTAAGGAACTACAAAATCTCGAACATCAACTGGAGATTAGTCTCAAGGGTGTTCGAATGAAAAAGGTATGTCGGGTCATTTTGAATCTCATCCAATCAGTTTTAAGCTTTTTTACGCCAAATGATCGACTGTTGCAGTGCTGTCGATTTTGCAGGATCACATTTTGACTAATGAGATTAAAGAATTACACCAAAAGGTACCGGGAGTCTGGTTTTCTTGCTGTATTTGATGAGCCTTTCTCACAAATTTCTGACCAATTTCCCGTTAATGCCATCGTAGGGAACTCTTGTCCATCAAGAAAACGTTGAACTCCATAAAAAGATGGACTCCATCCAGAAAGAAAATGCAGAGCTACAAAAGAAGGTAAACGAATGAAAAACACAACAATTTAAGAATATGTTAATCATTTTATCATAAATGCACACACGTCCCGAACACTGGACACAAGCCGTATCAAGCAAAAAATTTAGTTTTCATTAGGCTTCGAATTTGGATATTAGGTTTATGAAGCAAGGAGTACAAATGAAGAAAATGCGGCATCGAATGTTTCATGCACTATCAGAAATGGATATGATTTACATGCGCCTATTAGTCTCCAGCTAAGCCAGCCACAGTCTCAATACAGTGAACCAGCAACCAAAATCATGAAATTAGGGTATTCCCTCGAACTAATAATGTACCCGTTTACGCTTTTTCTTTCTGATTTCTTTAGAAACTAAACACTTCAATTCTTCACCAGATTACAGCTGCATTCCTAACACGCTGTCATGAACCAGTTCAAATATATAATCATGCTGCTATGTGTGGGATCTAGTAGTTCAACAGCCACATTGTTCAATTCAACAGAATAGGGTATGAGATTGTCTATCAAGAAACTTAAAATTGTTGTTAAAGATCAGACATAACGACTGCCTTTGTAAATTTTATGCAATAAGATATCAATGATTGTTGTGTCTGGTATTGTTTTATATGATTTCTACTTCTCCCATGATCAATTAAATGGAACTTGGAACTTCCTGTGCATCCCTATATCCCACACAATAAACTTGTATCTATCAGGCTCAGCCAATGTTGTCAACCGCAGATAGCGGGATATGGCAGAAGGCCGGACATACACCATATAAGCAATCCTTTGTGGTCTATGGTGCCGCCATGGTGGGAGGCATTCCCTCACAAAAAGTGTAAATAGTAAATGAAAACAAAAAAGTCTTCAAGCATCCGCATTCATATTTTCTTAATTAGGATGCCTTAGCTGTAGGTTTAATTGTCATTCTCTTCCTGATTAGGATAAATGTATATATGGAAGCGAATTAATTTATTGGACCAAGAATCAGTTTGTCAGCTTGTAACTAAATACTATAGTGTTTTAGTTCGCCAACAATATTAGGTGTGGGCATAACATTGGAGGTTAATAAGAGCACCAAGGTGTTTAAGAGCAAATTGAAAATTCAGCTTGTTGATAAGAAGTTGTAGATGGAGAAATTGTTGTCGAAATAGAGGAATTCGATATTGAATCGGAAATTAAGTATTAGGAATGTGCTCTCATCATGTACGTTCTAGGGGGAGAATTGAGCATGAACATGGTGAAACAATTCATGATGAAGAATTGGAACACAGTTCAATTACCAGATCTGCTCTACCAGGATGATGGTTATTTCCTTATGAGATTCAAATCCTTCAAAGAGAAAGAGGAAATTCTCATGAATGGACCATACATAATCAAGAATATGCCAATGCTATTAAGAGATTGGAAGCCAGATTCTCAACTTTGCCCAACAACATCAATGAGCCCTGGTGCATTATTGGAGACTACAACAATGTGCTTAAAAGAAAAGACAGAATTGGTGGTAGATTGGTAACTGAAAATGAATTCAAGGAACTACAGGATATGATGGAGAATCAAGGGGACTATTACACTTGGCACAATAAACATGTGAATGATCCTATATACTCTTGAATTGATAGAGTTATTGGTAATGGCCCATGGTTCCAAAACTTAAATCTCCAGCTGAAGCACCTTCCCCCTTGTGTTTCAGACCATGTGGTTTTGTTTTTGCAGCACCAGACTCTTACTAGACCAAGCAGGAAGAACTTTAAATTCATCAACTGTTCTACTGAAATTGATGGCTTTCAGGAAGTTGTGGAAAATAGTTGGATTGAGCCAGTTACAGGTACCCCTGCTTTTATCTTATGGGAAAAACTTAAAAGACTAGGCCTATTATCAGAAGATTGAGCAAGCCCTTAACTGATGTTAAAAGAACCATCCTGGCTGTTAGAGAAGAGTTAGAAAAATGGCAGACTGACCTGGTCAGTGATCGTATGAACCCTACCATTATCCAGAAAATTAAGGAAAAAATAGATGAGATTATTAGATGGCAAAACCTAGAGGAAAAAGTGTTGTAGCAGAAATCTAAAGTTGATTGGATCAGACTTGGAGATGGAAATAACCACTATTTTCATGCTTCCTTAAAAGCCAAAAATAACTCCAAGAAGCTGATGAGTGTTTACAAAGATGATGGTACTGAGCTGAATACCAACATTGAAATTGAAGAAGAAGTGCTTCACTATTATGAGGAGCTTATGGGGAGAGAAGATGGAAAGCTTGATCATATTGATATTAGTGTGATGAGAGAGGGATCCCATCTCAGCCTGGACCAGAGACAAAGCCTCCTTGTGCCTGTTACAGAGGAAGAAATCTTCAATGCCCTGCAAAACATTGGTGATAGCAAAGCTCCTGGATTAGATGGATACAGTGCAAAATTCTTCAAGAGCTGTTGGAATATTGTGAAGCATGATCTCATTCAAACCATATGCTACTGGCTCAGGTATAATAAGATGTCCTTGGGTTTCAACAGTACCATTGTCACTCTGATTCCAAAAAAAGATGATGCTAGATACATTAGAGATTATAGGCCTATTGTCTGTTGCACTATGGTTTACCAAATCTACTCCAAGATTTTAACTAATAGACTTGCCAAGGTCATTGGAGATATTCCCTGGTCAACAAATCCATAATCATATTTTGCTGGCTGTTGAGCTCCTCAAAGGTTATTCTAGAAAGAATGGTACCCCTAGATGCCTTATGCAGTTGGACTTACAAAAACCATATGACATGCTGGACTGGAAAGCCCTTGAAACTATCCTGCTGGAGATTGGTATCCCTAATCAGTTTGTGAAGTGGATAATGAATGGTGTCACCACTATTTCCTACAGATAGAATATCAATGGGGAGAATTCCAAAATCATGAAAGCTAGAAGAGGCATCAGACAGGGAGATCCTATCTCCCCTTTTCTGTTTGTGATTGTCATGGAGTATATGAGTAGATTGATGGCTAAAATGCAAGGAGCCCAAACTTCAACCACCATTCCAAATGTGAGAAAATGGAGCTGATTCACCTCTCTTTTGCCGATGATATTCTTTTATTCTGCAGAGGAGAGAGAGGATCTGTGGAGCTTATGACCACTGCCATGAGCCATTTCTCCCAGTCTACTGGCCTAATGGTGAACCCTTCTAAGTGAAAAATCTATCTTGGTGTAGTGCAGGAGGCCGAAAAATTCCATATTCTTAGAGTGACTGGATACAATGAAGGCAAGCTTCCATTCAAATACCTGGAGTCCCTATTACTAGTAAGAAGCTGGCTGTAAATCACTACCTTCCTCTCATAGAAAGAATCCTTCATAGGATCCATCACTGGAATGCGAAACTTTTGAGTCATGCTGGAAGAGTTCAACTTGTGAAAGTTGTAGGTTTTGCTATAGCCAACTATTGGCTCCAATGCTTTCCTATACCTAAAGTTGTCATAGATAAAATCCATACAGCCTGTGGAACCTTCATATGTAGGTTTTGTGTAAATTTTTTTCTTTTTGGGCTTTGGCCTTCCTTATTCTCAAAAAAAATGATACCTCGTATCGATCGATGTTACCTTCTTCAATTGTGTTTCCATATTTTGAGTCCAACCACATGACTTCGTAACGCCTTCAAGAAATTACTCTCACATTGTTTCCAGAAGTTATTATGTCTCGCTAACCATTATTCCTTATCACTCTAGGGAGTCTGGCCTATTAGATATCCTTACGGTTGACGTTGGCTTTATACTATGAAGGTTTGTCCATATGGTAAGATTGATTGATCTAAAGCTCGCTTCGTAGGGAAATGATACACTCAAGTTTTTGGGTTAGATTATAGTGATACGTTCTTGCCTATAGCCAAGATGGCATCAATTAGACTTCTTCTCGCCATTCAATCCATTTGACATTGGCATTTTCATCAACTTGACATCAAAAATGCATTTTCACATGGTGATCTTGAAGAGGAAGTATATAGGGAGTAACCACCTGGTTTTGTTGCTCAAGGGGAATCCTCGACTATGGTTTTTTGGCTACACATATCTTTTTATGGTCTTAAGCAATCTTCAAGAGCCTGGTTTAGGAGATTCAACATTGTAGTACAACAGTTTGACATGGTTTATAGTGAAACCGACCATTTTGTTTTTTATTGTTAGTCAGTGTCGCAACTGCGAAACGGGTTAGCAAAAGAAAAAAAAACAGAAGAGTCGCCACCGAACGTTATTTTTCCCAAAGAGAGGAAAATGAAACGATCGAAGAAAACTTAAAAAATGGGAGAAGACAGGGTCATTGCAACCAAATCTTGGGTTCGGGAGTCGGTTACGCAAGGGGAAGCTATGAGCACCCCTCACGTCCGTTGTACTCAACGGGATCCATGCTTGTTGTCTATAAAAAATGGTGAGTTATCTAAAAGCTACTGCTAAATGGGGAGGGAGGAGAAAAAGAAGACTCGATAGGACAATGCCGCCCTATGCCTACATACTTCCTCGTGCAATGGAAAAGTCAGAGTCAACGTAGTTCGGAAAACTACGGGTGATGGGGAGAAGGTCGCTCGCCAAGACATTGTCGTCTTGTGCCTATGTATCCTCATCTAGTATGAGAAATCAGAGCAAACGTAGTTCGGGTAAACTAGACCACTGGTTGGTTAAGCGTACAAATGATGGAAAGGAAGTCTACCTAATGTTATCATACAAATGATGGACCTAAAGTTGAGATAAAAAAGACTATTATAAATGTTATCATGCAAAGGATTGAAAGCTTAATGTCTCTCCTACTCCCATCTTAAATAGAGGGACTAGGAATCTTAAGGGATCATGTGAGAAAATACAAGTAAACACCATATTAGTCAATCACAAATGAAAAACAAAGCCTAAAGTTCAACAAGTCTCAAAGGAAAGAGAAGAAAGAGAAAAGAGACGAAGGAGAAAAAAGAAACAACAAGAAATTTCTAAAGGATGATCAATTCTAATGACAAGTCAAAACACAAGTAAACATTAACTCAATCATATACAAGACACACATTACACCAAGTCAAAATGAATGCATAAATTTCAAGTCACGCTAAAATATTAGGGGTTAAAGTAAAGTGGCAAAGCAAGGTGCCCAAACACACACAAGTGACTCAATATCCAACAATAGACACTACCAACCATCAAACCAAATAAGGTAAAGTAAAATGATATGTAAGACAAGGTGGGGCAGTAGCAACATCATGTCATGTTCAATTCAAATCAAAGATTAGAAAAAGGGACATAAAAGTGTCAAGCAACATCTTATCAAAACACTATCAACGACTACATAAAACAAGCATGTAACAAACACACCTCTCAAGAGAAAACATGGAAATTCAAGACATGAATACAAATGGGCAGAAATATGGACATGTATATAATCCATCATTAATACATGAATC